AGTCGACATAAACAGTGATAGGATATACTCCTATCTAAGTTCATAGTGATGCTGAATCATTTTATTCTTGTCAATTATTTGCATGTTTAATTATATAGAGCCGATGGCTCTTAAATAAATTGTTTGTACACTATATTTTACTCTTGAAATTGCTTGATTTTCTTGTGATACATACTCATTTCATCAGAACCTAATTTATCGTCAGACCATAATAATTTACAGTATTTAAATCTGACATATTGGCGACCACGAAGGGACAATTTTTGTCTATTTGATAGGTTAGGTTATAATGATTAGATTGTTATCATTGGTTAATATGTCTTGTGATTGTTTTTGTGTAATAATGAAAACTTGATCTTCTCTCCAGTTTACAGTGTTTGTAGGTTCAAGACTGCTCGGACGGTGGTGCAAGTGCAGGTCGGGGCAGGGAGGCTTCTCTACGTGCCTGTGCCAGAGCTGAGGGCGTGGTGACATTTGCGCTGCATAAATTGTCTGCATTTGGCAGGTTTGTAAATTTACCTTGGTGTGGCCTGCAGTATGGAGAGAGATAAGTTTATTACACAAGGGAAAGAGTTTAATTTGGAGGGGAAGGAATTGAGAACGTATGTTGATGAGTGTGTGCGTGAAGCTAGAGATGAACGAGCGGCAGCAAGGAGTGCCGAGACTGAAGTAATAGCTCAACAGATTAGACTAGAGGAACTAAGGAAAACTAATGGGACGGGACCTAGTTCACAGTCGGGGCACCCACGTAGTAGGCCCAGTATTCCTCCTCTTCCAGTTTTCCAAGAAGGAAAGGATGATATTGACAGTTATTTGTCTAGGTTTGAGAGACATGCCGTAATTGTAGGGTGGGATAAGTCGGATTGGGCACTCGCAATTTGTGCTTTGATGTCGGGTAAGGCTTTGGATATTATTTCAAGACTTACAGTTTCCCAGGTTAAGGATTATGACATAGTTAAATCCTCACTTCTAAAAGGATATGATCTTACGGAAGAAGGGTATAGGACTAAGTTTAGGTATGCTAAACTCCATCAGGGGGAAACCTATGTTCAATATGCCCATAGAATTGAGAAATACTTAGATCGATGGATTGATCTTAGCTCTTATGATGACAATGTTGAAGGTCTGAAGAGCCTGCTCATCCAGGAACAGATATTTAATACAAGCAGTAAGGAATGCCTGATGTTCGTTAAGGAACGTCATCCTGGAAAGCTTACAGAAGTATTAACTCTAGCTGATCAATATCATGATGCTCATACAGATTTGAGGGTAAGAAGGGTGAAAGCCCAGCAGTCCAGTTCTAACAGTTCAAATAATACTAAGAGTCCAAACAGTTCTACTAGTTCAAGTAGTGATAAAAGATCAAGTAGGTCTGAGAATCCAACCAACTCTAATCTTTCGAACAAGAAATGTTACACTTGTAATAAGTTTGGACATCTTTCTTTCAATTGCCCAAGTGGAAAGAAAGGTCGACGTGAGATGGGATCAAGTCTCGTCAAAGGCAGGTCAGCAGATGATACATCAGCCAGACATGATGCTGCAGCAGGACCTACTGACTCAAGAGAGACAGCTCATCTGGATGACTCGAAGGGTTTGAGTCTCATCGTGAGAGAAAACCTCACCGAAGATGGAACCGGAGTGAAGCTAGCATCTGGCGACACCCTCCCGGTACTATCAGCAGCAGCGAGTGGTTCACCAGTGGAGATGCCAGTCAGCAAGGGAATGGTGAACGGGAAGCTCGTGGATGTTCTACGTGACAGCGGTTGTACGACTGTCATTGTTCGGCAAGACTTGGTGTCGGAAGAGCAGTTCACTGGAGAACAGCGGACTTGCTTGCTCATTGATCGGACGATCAGAACCTTCCAAGTTGCAACGATCGAGCTAGATACTCCTTTCTTCATAGGTAAGGCAGAAGCTTTGTGTGTGCTAACACCCGTGTATGATATTGTACTAGGGAACATTTATGGAGCCCGGCAACCAGCTGACCCAGACCAAGACTGGAAGCCAAAAGATCATCAGGCCAACGCAGTAGAGACAAGAGGACAGAAGCGGAAGGCAGGACGTACGAGGCCTCCCCTTCAAGTACCTGATTCACTGAATGACATTGTGTCTGTGGCTGATCTAATCCAGGCCCAGAAGGAGGACAATGCACTGGATGCTTCCAGGAAACTCGCTGAAAGTGGAGAAAAGAAGATAAGTAAGAGTGGAAATTCGTCTTACTTTCTCGTTAAGAAGGATGTACTCTATAGAGAATATATTGATGCAACCCCAGGGTCAGATGTACTCGTGCAAGTTGTGGTACCCACTAAATTCAGGAATCAAGTCTTGAAGCTTGCTCACGAATCTATTCTTGGTGGTCATTTTGGAACTAAAAAGACCCGTGATAAGATTTTGACTCACTTTTTCTGGCCAGGTATGCATGCAGATATAGTGCGGTATTGTCGGTCATGTGGACCATGTCAGCGTACTTCGCCTAAGGGGAAGGTTACGAAGGTGCCTCTGGGATCAACCCCTCTCATCGATGAACCTTTTAGACGTGTGGCGATGGACCTGGTTGGACCGATAGAACCTGCTACTAGCAAAGGTAATCGGTACATTCTTACCGTTGTAGACTATGCTACACGTTACCCAGAAGCTGTAGCACTTCGCAGGATTGATGCACAGACAGTTGCAGAGGCACTGATGGACATCTACTCCAGGGTGGGGATACCACGAGAGGTGTTGACAGACCGGGGCAGCCAATTCACATCAGAGCTGATGAAGGAAGTCAGTCGTCTATTCTCCATCCGTCAGATGACGACTACACCCTATCATCCCGCTTGCAATGGGTTGGTTGAACGTTTCAACGGTACCTTGAAGTCTATGCTCCGCAAGATGTGTGAAGAACGACCCAAGGACTGGGGTAGGTATTTGAACCCCCTCTTGTTTGCTTACAGAGAGTCAGTGCAGGAGAGCACGGGATTCTCACCCTTTGAACTCCTGTTTGGGAGAGCAGTTCGAGGCCCTCTTGCTATCCTACGAGAGCTGTGGACTGGAGAGGTTGATGAACCGGATACCAAGACTACATATCAGTATGTATTGGATCTGAAAGACAGGCTGCAATTGACTTGTGAAGTTGCCCAACAGAATCTCAGCAAATCAGCAGAGAGGTACAGGAGACAGTACAATAAGAAAGCAAAGGAGAGAAAGTTTGAAGTTGATGATGAAGTCCTTCTTCTACTTCCGAGTGACAACAACAAACTGTTGATGCACTGGAAAGGACCCTTCAAGGTGGTTAAGAAGATAGGACAAATGGACTACAGAATTGATAAGGATGGAAAGATAAAAACCTTCCATGCAAATCTTCTGAAGAAGTACTACAGGAGAGAGGAGAGTGCAGGTGGGTTTGATGTTGCTGGTGTTTCTGTTGTGGATGATGGCTTGTCTGAGGAATGTAGCGAAGGAGAGAATGAAGATGTAAACCATTCTTCGAGAAAGGATATTCTTCATCTCCCCAATCTTACCCCAACAGAATCTCTCAAAGATGTGCAGATCAGTCCACATCTAGATGATAATCAGCGTGAGAAGGCCAACTCTCTTTTACGGGAGTATGAAGAAGTTTTGACTGATATGCCGGGATTGACAAACTTAGGTAAGCATGACATTAAACTTGTCCATAAGGAACCCATTAAGAGTAAACCGTACCCATTACCACATGCTTTTCGAGGTAAGGTGAAGGAGGAGGTTCAGAAGATGATAGATGTTGGCATAGTTGAATCCTCGTCTTCTCCTTATGCATCCCCGGTAGTGATGGTAAAGAAGAAAGATGGGACGATCAGGTTTTGTTGTGATTATCGTAAGTTAAATCAAGTTACCGTAACTGATGCAGAACCGATACCTGATCAGGAAGAAATATTTGCAAAACTTTCTAGGGCCAAGTATTTCACAAAGATTGATCTAACCAAAGGGTATTGGCAAGTACCCTTAACAGAGGAAGCCAAGGAACTGACAGCATTTGTGACACCAGATGGTTTGTATCAATTTCGAAGCATGCCATTTGGGCTAGTTAATGCTCCGGCAAGCTTTAGTCGTATCATGAGGGCTTTGCTCCGTGGCTTGCATGGTGTAGACAATTTCATTGATGATATTTTGATCCATACAGTAAGTTTTGAGGAGCATTTAGATACCCTCCGTGAGGTGTTCGAGAGACTGAGGAGAGCAAACTTGACAGCGAGGCCTACCAAGTGCACTGTAGGATGTGTAAGTATCGAATTTCTTGGTCATCGAATAGGTCAAGGAGAGCTTCGACCAGTGCAAGACAAAGTCGATGCAGTTCAAGGAGCTGCGAGACCTAAGACCAAAAAGCAACTTCGATCCTTTCTAGGTCTTGTGTGTTATTACAGACGGTTTGTTCCCAACTTCGCAGCATTAGCAGTACCACTGACTGACCGAACAAAGAAAGGAGAGCCACTTCTAGTGAAATGGGGAGATGCGGAAGAGGCAGCTTTCACTACCTTGAAAAAGAAACTTGCTAGTGAACCCATCCTCCATCTTCCGGACTTAGATCTTCCTTTCATCCTGAGGACTGATGCCTCAGATCATGGTCTCGGTGCAATTCTGCTACAAGAGACAGAAGGGAAGAAGTTCCCTATCGCCTACGCTAGTAGGAAACTTCTCCCAAGAGAGCAGCGCTACTGTGTTATGGAACGTGAATGCTTAGCAGTAGTCTGGGGTGTTCAGAAGTTCGAACCATACCTCTACGGCAAGCATTTTGAACTAGAAACTGATCACCAGCCACTGCAGTGTATCGCGAAATCAAAAGTCGCGAACTCAAGGATTCTGAGATGGGCTCTGGCGCTTCAACCGTACCAGTTTAGCATCACAGCTATCAAGGGCAGTGAAAACGTCGGTGCAGACTACTTAAGTAGGATACCAGATACCAGTAGTTGATTTCAAGTAAAGCAGGAACAGAAGGTTTTTCTTTAATAATAATTATTAATCTTTATATTTTCCTGTAAACAAATTTTCCTCGTATAGAATGAGAAAACCACTCTGAAATTTTCCTCGTATAGAATGAGAAAACCACTCTGAATTTTTTTTCTGAAATTATATAAATTTCTTGAAGGAAGGGGAGATATGTCACAATGTGACTGGGATTTCTTTTTTAGACAGAGAATGTAATGGACAGGTGTTAGATGAATAGATGTTGTTGGTAGCAATTTACTAGGTCAACTAACTTGGATTTACTAGGTCAACTAACTTGGGTCTCTAGTAGAGCAGGTGTCTGTCTTTGTCTGTGTGTGGGGAAAGGATGAGGAGAATGTTAATAGGAAAGTTTTGTATAGAGGATTCAGTAAAAGGAATTTGGATGGACAGTTTTGGCATGAGAGGAATACAAAGAATGTTAAGGAGGTTACTATTGAGAGAGCCAACGTGGATTAGAGATTTAGGGTAGTTTAATCAGATTGCACATGAGATCTCGAGAGGAGCAGACCTTTCAGAATTTGGTCTGACTTTGGGGAGTGAATGAGGGGTGTTGGCCACGAAGGTAAAAGTTACAGCCACAGGCTATAAGCATGCTGTTGCTGGCATAGACTTTCCCTATACTATGGGACCAGGCAAGAACCAGGCAGCACAGGCCGACGTGGTAGAAGCCTCATCAGCCCTCGCCTCGACTTGGATCATCATTTGAACATCTGAACTGTAAGTTACAGAAATAAATGTATTACCTTATTTGTAATTATCTGGAAGGAAGGTTAATTTCATACATTTCATAAAGAGAAAGATATTTTCTATGTACTACGAGATAATGGATTTTTGTGTTGTATCTTGCTTGTTGAATAAGGAAGACTTAACCTTGATTATTTTGTTTGCTTAGAATATATGAGGTTTAAGAAATTGTATTGCACTGAAAAGTTATACATGTATAACTATATGTAAAGACATAGGTGTTATTCTATAATTTCTAGGTGAAAGATACCGTACATGGTCATTTATAAATGTCGCCTATTTTAGTGGTTTATGTCAGTGAAGCTAAGCTCTAGAGATTGTAAATGATTGTTGTAAATTGTTAGGATTTACATCGCTATAGCTATCGTGTTTATTTTTGTAGATGGTTGGCTATTTGGTTTCCATTTAATTCTTTTAGGGACAAGCTGGGCTCGTAGCCATAACCCTAGGCACCATCAGTGAATGGACATGTGTTCGTAGTCGACACGCTCAGGCAACCTACTCGCGTCAAGTCGTTGAGTCAACGCCCAGTGCTGTCGTACACCGGTCAGGCTTAGCAGGTCATGCATCATATCGCACCGGGTTACTACATACACCAGAGTATTTCGTTCCGCCTATTCAGAAACAGGAAGAGGTGGTATTTACGAACTCTAAATCGGGACTCTCTAACCCACAACAGTATACTTTTTATATAAAGACCGGGCTAGAGTCGGTGGGAGATTAACTGTATTATACCTCGAAGGATGACCTGGTCATCAGGTAATCTTTTTTCCTTTGGAAATATGGAGAATTATATTGTGATATAATTGAGTAACGATAAGTCGACATAAACAGTGATAGGATATACTCCTATCTAAGTTCATAGTGATGCTGAATCATTTTATTCTTGTCAATTATTTGCATGTTTAATTATATAGAGCCGATGGCTCTTAAATAAATTGTTTGTACACTATATTTTACTCTTGAAATTGCTTGATTTTCTTGTGATACATACTCATTTCATCAGAACCTAATTTATCGTCAGACCATAATAATTTACAGTATTTAAATCTGACAAGGATATAAGTGAAACCGTGTGGTATACTGAAATACAAAAGAAAACTTCAAACGGTTTGTGAATTAAAAGCTAGAGCATTATTTTTTTCCACAAATTGTAATTTGTCATTATACCTTTTCAATAATAACAACATCGTGACCTTAATGGATCAGACTACCTTGCCATCAAACTGGAAACTCAAATATTTTGATTTAGATGCTTTCATTTGCCTTTATGTTGTTCAATTACAAATATATGTGGTATTTGTAGAATTTAGTGTTTTCTTGATGTGTAACCGATTATTAACCACGGCAATGGCCGTGGTAGTCACATCCATCACCAACTTCATGACAAAACAAACAGCTTATAATAGCTGAGGGTCCTAGATAACAAATGTATTTTATTTGATATGGCTCATATTCTGCTTGTTTTATATTGTCTGTTGATTATTTACCTTTATGTTTTGGTTCACTGAAGTCAACTTCTTTAATATTCAGTTTGCATGGCAGGGGCAATTCTTTTAAAAAGACCCCGGCTTCAAATGATTCATTTCTTTTTATTATAAACAAACGGTCTGCTAAAATTATTAGATGATTTTCACGTGTTTCATGTTGTTGAAGAACAATTAAATTATTTCTTGATCTGTTACCATAGTAACGGCCTGGTAGTCACATCCATCACCTACTTTATGGCAAACAAACAGAAACGATAACCGAGGGTCCTACATTGTAGCTAACAGAAATCATCATTTATTTAACAATATATTCATTAGTTTCAGGTATTTTTTGTATACAAATATCAATATTTTCTCACTGGTTTCATAGCAACAGCAAGTTTCAAACATGACTGATACATGTAATAACTTGTAGTTGAAATCAAGGGAGAAGCATTAAATATAAATATGGGCATGTTTTCAATGTTTTTTTAAATTTTTAAATTACAAATTTCTGACTTTTTCTATAATTCTAATGTTCATGATCCGTTACGCATCATGTAAAAAAGCATCAACTCATTTGGCATAGCATGAAATGATTTATTTTCCATCACATTATCTGATCATTTATTTTTCTTTGTGTGGTACGACAACATATATTATATGTTTAATCTAGAACAAGTGTTTCAATGAACAGCGTTATTGTGCTTTTAAAAACTTTGAAATATGATTACTTTCAATAACCCCATTTTCCGAGTAAATCATCGTATATGTTTCATGTTTACAAAGTCAAATTCCCGTTATAGTGCAATCACTAATATTGTTTATTCTATTTCAATCTGCACAATGTTTATAATGCATATACCGTTAAATTTCATTTAAATGAAAATTTCACTCTAAAATGTTTCAGGCTTTGTGTAAGCCCTATGCTGGATTTTTTACAGGAACGTCTGAGTTGTCTCCCCGGAGTTTGGGGGAGAACAAAACGCAGGTTTTTTTTTATTTTTTATCGAACCTGCTGAATACATATTAAGATTATAATTTAATGCTTTTTATATCAAATTTGCTTTCCCATGAGGATGAAATTGTGTATTAACATCAGTCGAAATGCGATTGAACAGTCACTTTGGACATACTTCAAGAAATGACACTTCAAATAGTTTTATCGTCGCCATGGAAATAAGTTTATTTTTGCAGACCCTTTTATACATGATGAGAGTTTTTATGCCTCATTAACAAACTACTGTTAATTGATAAACCCAAATCCTATCGTGTTGAAATCTTATGACCTGAATCGCGATAGGTATTAAAACATTAATGTAACATTTTCATAACATTAAATATTGTTATTTTATTATTTTAGTTGTTTCATTTTATTTGTTGAATTGCCCTCTTTGAATAATTTGCTCTTTTAACTATGTATTATTTTGTCAAAGGACCATATCATTTTTTGTAAATTTACGTTTATACTCAATGTGTCCTATCTACTCCATTTGATATTCCATTATATTAGTGAAGTAATTCCACCGTGATATGCAGGATGGACATCCAATCCTCACATTGTGATACATTTACACTTTAATTTTAGAAGATGCCTATATTGATGCATAGTTATTTTGTGGTAAGTTCCCCCCCCCCCCCTCCCCTAAGTACAAAGACGAAAACGATTTATTTTGAAATCATAAAATATAATTGTTCGGGGGGGGATATCGAGAAATTAAAAAGATCAATTTGCTTCATACTGTGTTCAGCTGATATAGAAAGCAATTACAATGTGTGTGTTTTTTTTGCTATAAGCACAAGTATACGATATATAGACTAAACAAGTACATACAATTAGTGATAATTATTCTATAGTTGTCAATAGATTTCAAGTTGGCAATTCTGAACGTGGTATTATGTCTGTGTCTTTGGTCTCACAAAAGAAAAAATAGTTTTTGATAATAATCTACCCATCTTTTTCTAACTTTGTACTAATACACAGCATTTAGTATAATCTGTAATTAACTAAGCTGTGTTTATATAAAATGTGATTTAGAAAGCAGGTAGGAATTCAACATTTAATTGGAACTTGTTTATATGAATTCATGAGTAGTCCTACATTTTAATTAACCTGTGCAGATATGCTGTAACTGAATAACGAATATTTGAATTCATAGTTCATTGTATCAATGGTACAAATAGATAGACGTGGAAACAGAGCAGTGAGTAATTGAATGATTAATATTTAATTTTGGCAAACAAGCTTCAGCTGAACTGCAGTTACAATGCATGATTGTAGTATTAGAGCCAGAGGGCGACCATGGGAAATGATGGTTATCTCACTATGAACATGACAGACAATGAAAGCGGACAAAATATACAGTTCCTCAGGTAAACAAAGGGACATCCCTTCACTGCTATTATGTAAAAATGTGTAAAACAGATGTCACATGCATATTCACAGGTTCTACACATTTTTACATAATAGCAGTGAAGGGATGTTCCTTTGTTTACCTGAGGAACTGTATATTTTGTCCGCTTTCATTGTCTGTCATGTTCATAGTGTCTCTTGGGTGGTTTCAGTTCATAGTATATAAATCGGCTTCGCGCCAGGATGATGTCGATCTTGTGTAGGCATTTTGATCAGATTTAAATCATTCGCACTCACTGATACTTAAAATTGGTCTTGGACTATTGATGTTTACAATAGTTTGGTGAACTGTATAGGTTTAAATCATAATGCAGGTTTGTTTTTAAGATGACTACACCGTAAAAAAATAATAGTCGAAATAACTCAATAAAATTGAGGAAAAGAATTGCCTTATTTTTATTAAGTAAACATTACCTACGGCATCTTAAGTAGAATTTACTTATTTTGCTGAATAAATTTTTACTCAGTTAAATCGAGTTACATTAACGTAAATAAGTATTGTAATCATTTTAGATAATTAAAAAAAAGCTATGATAGGATTACATATTGCACGATTTGGTACCCATCTAATCTAACAAGTAACATCCACAAATCATTCACTACTTCTATTTAAGATTTAACCGTATATATATACCTACCACCATCACAAACTATTACATACGCTTCAATTCGACACATATTGAAAGGCTCAAAATTTTATATATACTTGATCGTAGCATCTTAAAATGAAAATTGGTTGACAATTTCCTGAAATATCAAGTTTTGATTTGTTTTGAACTGGGTAACAATTAAAAATTGGCTTGTCTTTGCTTAGCCATGTTAAATGAATTAGTAAATGTTTTAAAGTCCTTAAATTTTCATTCAACCACAAAAAAGAATTGTTTTATTTAAAAAAGAGTTTAATTTGGTCTTAATGAATATTCATAAATTATGTAAATATTTCTATTACGCACTGCATCGGTCCTTACTTTAAAAAGATAAGAATAATCAACATAAATTGTTTGAGTAATACGTATAATTTCTGATTTTGAGTTAAAATTACTAAATTAATACAAGCTGAAATTACTTAAAGTTCTTATGTATTTGATTTTACTTAAACATTCCACGTATGTTCTACTAAATTGAACGTTTGAGTTAGCAAGACTTAAATTTAGTGCGTAAGTGGCAAAACTAATGTTTTCAAGTAAATTCTACATGGAAAAAATACGTAAAAATTACCAATGAACAAATTCTTTTTTACAGTGTATAATAGCACAGTAATCTTGTAGTTCAGTAAAAGTAACATTGTGTAATAATAATTTTGCTCTGGAAGCAATCATATGCTTTCAATCATTTGTAATGACACTGGTAAAATTCGTTGATTATTCTATCATGGAACAGCATATTTTCTATAACAATCTAAATTGGAAATATAAGACTCATATAAGAATTGAATTTTGTTCAATCCTTTTAATTCTACTCTTTCAGTTTATATATTATTTGATAGGAATTCTACCATTGTAAGTAATTCTGATTGAATCATTCCAAATTCTAAACCGTCTTTGATGTGTTTTAAGACGGAGGCATGCCATCAGAAAAAAATGATGGTGGCTAGTGAGATAAGGGGATTTGCCTGTCGCTTTAAGGTAATGATGATGTTCTCGAAGTTCTGACTCAATTATTCCATTGTGGTCTGTGGATGGAGGTACAGACTTTCGATGTTAAATGGGGAATGTGTCAGCGTTACTAGCTGGTGGAAATTATATTTCATGTTATGACAATATTGATTGCAATTCAACAAAATCTGTTTATTTACATTCATCACTATTATAAATATCTGAAGTATTAATTGAGTGATATTCTTCTCTTTCTTGCAGAGCTTTGTTTTGGTTTCGTCTGATGACAAATAAAACGATGAACTAAAAATACACCACGTCTACACTTCCCTTCATTGGAAGTTTACCCACGACATTATCATCCGACAAAGAAGTACCCTTCTTATTTCAGATGTGATATATTGACGTCATGGCAAACAGCTCAATCTTGTACCCATTGCTCATCGCTTGTCTCCTCGTCAGCTCGTCCTTTCAATT